GTTATTCCCATTGCCAGCAGCTAGTGTTGGCTAGGTATATTGTCAAGTTCTAGTAAGTGACAAACTGTTAGCATCCAGGCACACCTTGGCCCCACCCCTTGGGAACTTGGCACAGTGTGTCATGCCTTGTGCCATGCCCGCTGGCATGGCAGACAGTACCCTGTCCCTTTAAAAGACAAGCCCCACCTACTCATGCTCTCTCTGAGGAGGCAGGTCATGGTCTTCTTCCCTCCCTCCTTTTCTCTCTCTCTCTCCCCCCTCCTTTCCCTTCCCCAGTAAACTTCCTTCTCAGTAAATCCTGTATGATGGTGTATCTGTCCCTTACCATGGGATCCACGCTCCCAGTCCCACCTCATGCCAGCATACCATTAGTGTCTTGACTCGCAGGCAGGTAGGATTTGCTGAAGGAGGCATGAGGCAGAGCACAGGACGTGATGCCCTGTGCCAGGTTTCCACAGGGTAGGGCCAAGGTGTGCCTGGATGCTAACACACACAGAGAAGTATACTGGTGGGTTTGGTTGGAGGAAAATTAGTAGGTCATATTTGTGTACCCTTGTCTTCCCTTTCTACTTAGTTCTCTTTCTTAAAAGTTGGGATAAGAGCATCACCAGCACTTGATGACAGTGGGAAGACGGAAAGTGCTGGACCCTTCCTCCTGTCCCTTCTATTTTCCTGATTAATTTTATACACCACATAAAAAACCCAAAGAGTGAAAGAGAGGAAAAGAGAGAACGTTGTTCATTTCACTTGATTTTTCAAGTTATGAATACACATATTCTAGTTTATAACTGCCAATAGATGTCACTTAAATTAAGTAGAAAAAAAATAATGATTATAAAAAAGCAAATGGTTAATAATGCAAGTGCTGTCTTTTTAAATCAAAGAACATCCCAGGGAAGTAGCCTGGAGGTGTTACTATTCTGAAAAGCAATGAAGCAGAGGCAAACACAACAGTCTCAACCATTTTTGCTTTGTGCCATTTCTAAGCTCATAAACAAGAGTAACTGAGAGGCCCAGAAGGTGAAGATTAAAAGTTGACAGTTTGAAAGGTTTAAAGGCTCAAAGTCTGAAGTACAAAGCCACCATAGCAATGTGAATTTACATGGACTGATCCTGGAGAAAGAGACAAAGAGCTTCATTCTATGCCACTCTACCCCTGAAGTACTTACGATTCCCAAACAAATAAGCAAAGACAAAGAAGCAGTCATTATAATAACAGCAGAGCTGTTGGCAATCTTAAGGTGCTAAAAGAAGCAAAAGGGAGGGGGGTGCTGGAGCGATGGCTCAGAGGTTAAGAGCACTCTGTCTACTCTTCCAGAGGGCCTGAGTTCAATTCCCAGCTAACAACCATCTATAATGAGATCTGGTGCCCTCTTTGACTTGCAGGCATACATGCAGACACAACAATGTAAACATAGTAAATAAATGAATCATGAATAACTCCGGTAAAGGCAGCAGTTTCCTACCAAAAAAATTCTCAGAAGCAATGTCCTAAGAATAAAATAATTCTAAGAGACCAATTAACAGAAAGTTAAAACTATGTTGCAAATTCTCTTGCCAGATCCTAGATTGCCTGTCCCCTGCATAAAAGAAAGTACTCTGGTGCAGATATTGCTACCAGTAATTCCACTACTATTTGTACATAGTATCCAGTCAGTTAACAATTACAGGAGCCAAAGTCAAAAAAAAAGAACCAAAAAGAGAAGAAAAAAATTAGGCAACAGAAATGGAACCAAAGATGATTTGGGCACTGAAATTCTTAGACACAAATGTCAAGAAATATGCTCAAAAAGGCACAGTAATATGAAGACTTTCTCAGAACATGAAATAACAATATATTACTGTAATACAATATTGTGTATTATAGCATGTATATTATGAAATGGCTATATTCCAAAACTTCAAATCCTTGACACTACCAAATGCTGATGAGAAGGTAGGCAACAGAAACTAAACCAAAATGACAGATACTTTAGAATACAGTTTGGAAATTTCCGTTATTAACTGTGCCTTTGCCATAAGATTCAACTATAATGTTCCAAATATTTACTCTAGTTAGGTGAAATATTCACATGAAAATGAAAAAATACATAAAAAGACAGAAAATACAGAAGAGCCTAAGCATCACAGTGAGAAACTCAACCACAAGTAACTGAAATCCGAAGAGAATGGGGAAAGAAAGCTGTAGAAACGTTTGTGATGGCTCATCTTGGTTATCAACTTGACACAGCTGGGAAGAGGGACCCTCAATTGCAGAACTGCCCCCATCAGATTGGCCTGTGGGCATGTCTGTGGGGCCACTTTCTTGATTACTAACTTACACAGGATGGGTGGTATAAGGAAAGTGGCTGAATGAGCATCCGTGAGAGTAAGACGATCTGCAACACTCCTCCATGGGCTCTGCTGCTGTTCCTGCTTCTGCTCCTGCCCTGGCTGCCCTACATGATGGACTGTGAGCATTGAGATGGAATAAACTCTTTCCCATACCAACTTGTTTTTCATCAGCATTTTACCAAAGCAACAGAAAGCAAAGTAGAACAGGGATGCACTATAAAAACAGTCTGAGGATGAAAAGAAATCAAGTCATATTTAAGTTTCTCCCTCCACTAGGGTTAGTATATAGAAAAGAACACTGAAGCATATCCTGCTCAAGTAAATTTAGCCACAAAACATAGACATATGCTGAGGTTCACTGAAAAAAAGGCATGTATTTCTGAACTGTAAGGGCACAAGCCCAGCATGCATGTACAGAAATACAGAGTAACACTGTGGGTAGTACCCTACCTAGCACAGCACAGCTTCTCACTAGGATGCTTGTTTAGGCTTTTCTCTATTTTTTTTTCTTTTACTTGGTTTTTTTAAAACATTTTCATGTGACTATTTCACCTAACTGGAATAAATACTTCGGTACATTATTGCTGAATCTTATAGCTAATAGTATACAAAACTGTCAAGCGATCTTCCAAAGTGTCTTCCAGAGTGTTGATTAACAACAGTTCAAGTTGCCTGCCTTGGTACTGGACCAGTTATGCATATGGGAAAAAAATAAATCTAAATTTTTATTCACATTACACACAATTAAATGCAAGAAGATTCTAGATCTAAATATGAATGGCACAAGAAGAAAACAGAATACTATCTTTGATCCCCTGGTGTACCTGAAATCTTTATTTTTAGATAACAGACCTTTGGCTATGTAAACCAGGCTGGCCTTAGATTCTCTATCCTAGTCTCAACACCTGGAAGTGCGTGTGTGTGTGCCATCATACCCAATTTAGAAGACACATTAACAAGAACACAGACAGTAAGAACAAAGAAAAATACAACTAGAGTTCATTAGAATCAGTGGCTTCCCCCAAAACATCTTACTAAGAAAATGAAAGGACACACTTCAAGAGTAAGAGAAGACATTTCCAATAAATGTATCTGACAAATCAGAATATATAATGGGCCTCTATAAAACAGGCTGACTGACCTAGCCCTTCTGGAGGCAACCTAAAAAGCCAACTTAACATATATAAGTGCATTTCAACTCCCAAATCTCAAATATAAGCTCAAAATGAGAGAACAGTGAAAATGTTTAAAACTGGTAATACTTTGGTACTTGGTAAAGATGCTCAACTAACCTTTCACACACTACAGATAGAAATAAGCACACCACAATGTTGGGTATCTCTGACTGTATGTGATGATGCTGATACACACATACTCTAGATTTAGGCATTGCACACTAAGTATAACTCAAGATGCGTTAGATTACTTCACTAAAACACATGCACTTACATATTTTAGCAGTGTAAAGTCTACAATGGAATATACAGAATAACTCACTGCAGTATATTTACACAAGGAAAAACTACACGGCAATGGAAATAACCACTACCGTGTGCAACAACCCAGATAATCCCAAAACACAATTAAAAACACAAGATAAGAGTTCACATTGTGACCCCACTTACAGAAAGTGTAAATACCCGTTAAATCAGTCTAAATGGAAATCAAATAATAGTTGCTGGTAGGGAAAGAAGAGAGGAATCTAGGTAATGCTGTTTCTTAACTAAAGGGAAATTGCAGAACTTGTTTATTTCTCTGTTTTCATGAGATCAATGTAATGGGTTTAATTGACTAAAATATTCTTTCAAATTAGCTGTACTTAATATAAATACTGCCACATCTTTTTGCCATCCATCCACATGTATTACTAGCAGTCATCATTCCTAACAATACTTCTATTTTTGATAACTATCTGTTTTAAAGCACCTACTATTTACTTTTAGTAGACTTTATTTTTGAGATTAGTAAGTATATTTTTAAAGGATTTATAAACTATAAGCTATACAAAAACAGCTATCTCGTAGAGAGTCCCAAAGCAAGTTCTCTCTTATTACTTCAAGCTATTCCATATCTAGGCCTACATCCTTTTCATCAGAAATACTGGAAATGTAAATGATACCTTGCTTGAATGTTCTCAAAGAAGAATTTGTTTATATGAGGATGAAAGAGTTTAGCACATCCAAGTGGAAAGAATACAGGAGAAAACAGAAACAGCCACTCTTAACTGATTCTCTATCATTAATAAACTACTCTTTTAATGATCAATTTATATCATCTGTGTAAAGATCCCTAATGCACTTAATTCTCAGAGCACTCATTCAGTGACTACTATTTTTAATTAGGAAAACATGGGGCATGCATGTTTATTTCTCTGTTTTCATGAGATCAATGTAATGGTTGCATACCTCTCTGAATTACACTTAAATTTGAATATTTACTTCAATATTGGAGATTCTGGAGGTAGTAAAAATATTTTAGGATTATACTATGAATAAGGTCACTGAGACGGATACTTTTAAATGGTTAATTTTAAGTTCTCTGAGTCTACCTTGGCTTTAAAAAGTTACCCCAAATGTTAGTCTCAATAAAAACAAAACAAAAGCCTCAGAGCATATGTACTGGTAGATATTCATGACTACAATTCTCAGTTGACATGCTGCACTTACCAACTGCTGTGTCACCGTCTAACAAATTGTCATCTTCAGAAGTCTGAAAGTCCATAATAGCACCTGCTCCATCTAAGAGCTCCTCATCGCTACTGGCGCTTGTTATGCTGTTGTAGCTGTTTCTATAGTAGCCTCTATGGAACAGCTGCTCAGACTCCATTTAGCTGTCTGGTTATCTGGAAAAAAGGGGAAAATGGCTTCAACATTTTCCCAACATATGACAAAAATCATGTATTCTAACATCACAAGATGAAAGCTAAGGTCTTTGCAGTAAAAATACTAAGTCCAGCCGCTATACAAGGGATCCCTCTATTATGCTAAGTGCTGAGGGATGGTTCAATTCTTTCTTCTCACTATGCAGGTGTAGAAGAACTCCTTCAAGCAGCACTGTAACAATCTTAAGATCCTCTAAGTGTAAATCTATCGAGTGCAGAGGTGCGCTTACCGTGTGCAGCTTGCTGCACAGGACAGGGAAGAATCAGAGTATGCAATCGCTTACGTGTGCATGGACAGCACAGGTCTTTGCAAGGGAAAGGCCCGCAGGAAAGACAGCAAATGGCTGAAATTCCAAGTCCTTGGGACTTTACTTCAGGCAAGTGCTACCTAATTTTTAAAGTTAACATTGTAAGTTAACATCTCTTAAATTAACTTGAAATATTTAAGTATTGGGAGCTCAGGGTCAAACATTAACCAGGAAAAACTGAAAATAGTTAATTTTTTTCATTTTTTTTCAGCATAGGTAAAACCAAATTTTATTTTCATTCTTTATATACCAAAATAGTACTCCTACATCTTTTTTTTCGAGACAGGGTTTCTTTGTGTAGCCCTGGCTGGTCTGGAACTCACTCTATAGACCAGGCTGACCTCACACTCAGAGATCTGCCTGCCTCTGCATCCCAAGGCATGAGCCACCAGCATCCAGCTCATTTAATATGTCTTTTCCAGGCACACTATCAATATGAAAATTTACAAGTCTGTTGACATGTGTGGGCCTCATCAACCATAGAGGGAGTCAAACTAGTAGAGCTTATAAAACAAGACTGACTAGAAAGTCACAGTAATTAAGTGCGCACAGAACACAAAAGAATCAAAGTTCCCAAACTCAACCAAGACTCAAGAGTTCTTAGACAATGTTGCCTCCTTGTTCTAATGCAGCTTCTGTAGGGTAAAAGGGACACCTGAAGCAGGAAACCGACAACCGCTGAGCACCCAGAGCCAGAGAAAGAAACATACCCTGTATTAAGACCTGAGCCAGGACAGAAACATTTTTATCCCTGATCTCAGAACTAAAGACATGTATATGCCCTGGCTCTGAAACTAGTGTCAAAGAAACACACTTTGTCCCTAGAATCAGAACCAGTGAAAGAAATACACCCTGTTCCTAAGATAAGAGTCAAAAAGCTAAAAAGGACTAGTGAAAGAAACACAGTTTGGCCATGAAGTGAGAGCCATCTCTGCCCCTGGCCAGCTAAACTAACCAGCCCCTGAGCAGGACAAATAGCCAATCCCCTGTCTCCCTGGGAAAACTCTGCCCCTAAGAAGACCTATATAAGCCTTTTCACCCTTCAGTTGAGAGCTGCCATTAATCCCGCCCTGGCATAGGCAGCCTCTCTGGGACTCCTCCTTCGCAAATAAATTTCTTTCTCAAAAAAGTCTTGGGTGATGACCTTCATTCGAAGGCTTAGGGGACTGAGCTGAAAAACCTTGCTGAGATGCTCCCTAGGGGGCATCAGCAAAAAAGAGCAGAAAAGAACAGCATTGCTAGGATGCTCCTTAGGGGGGCGTTAACAAGGCCAGTGGAGGAAAAGTAACAACATTTTGCTGGAGCCAGAGGAGATTGCTATATTTCTGCACCCGGCTTCCCTTTAGCAGAGTATTAGCAGAAGAAACATCTTCAGCCAGAGAAGCACAAAGCTCTGCTAGGACGCTCTGGTAAGGGAACAGAGCAGAACTCAGCTGTAATGGCTCTCCAGGAGAGGAGCAAGATCCCTATATACTGCGGGGAGACCATCTCCCACTGCACCCCAGCTTCAGGTAGCCTGGCTTCCTGAAAGGACACCTTTGCTCCAGGGCTGAGCTGTCCCATTGCTACTCCAGCCTCCAGAGCTGTCCTATTGCTGCTCTAGGTAGCCTGACTTCCAATAGTCAACTGAGTGTGGGGAGCCCAACTCCGATGAACACATCTACATTACCTAAGTCCATGACTCAAAATGTGTCGGAAGGGGAGGGAAAGACTGGAAGGACCAGAATACCAGGAACTTGGCCATGAAGCAGTCTTTCCTAGAAACGGCTATATAAATGACTGGAACGATGGCATTATCAACGGACACACTAGAATGGTTTGAAATTTTAGCAGGGTCTTAATCCTGGACAACAAACTCCAGACAACTGACTGCTGGGAAAATTATCTTCTTCCAGGGATGAGTCCCTTTATTGGTTGTTCAGTGTAGAGTGATCAGCCTTGAAGCCAAATACACACAACAAGCAATGGACCCAGCAGGCTCTATTTACATATTTTTGTGCTTATACATGTACATGTACATATACACATATGTAACAAATATAATTAAAGAGGCAATCAACAAGACATAGGAGGGGTTTTAGGGAGGAAAGGGTGGAGGAAGTGATACAATTCTATTTCAATTAAAAACATTTTTAAAAGAGTACCGTGAAAAGCAGTCTCTAAATACTGTATACCAAAGTGGATGTCAGTATATCTATATCAAGTGTTTTTGTGAATGGTGTTATTCTTTTTAAAGATATGGTGGGAGGGGAGGCCAGTGATGGTGATCTCACAAGGGGCAGCAGCTGGTGACTCAGCGAGTCCCCAGAGGCCTTGGCCATTGGCAGGTGACCCAAGGGGGTAGCAGTCCCCCGAGGGGCAGCAACAGACCATGAGGGTCAGCTGGTCACATCACTTGAGGCCTCAGCGCTTCCCAGGCAAGTGGGAGACCATTGTGGGTGAGAGACAGACAGGTATGCCATGCAGAGAGAGTTTGGGTATTGAGTTTATTTAGTGGATTATGGAAGGGAAGGGAAAAGGGGGGAGAGTGAGGGGTGAAAGGGGAGGAGAGAGAGGCAGCATCCACTTCTTCAGAAGAGGGATGGGAAGGGAGAGAGCACAGGCTGGAGGAGGCAGAAGATCCCCTTGTCTAGGTGTAAGGGGGGAGTGCATGGGCTTGTCTCTTAAAGGTACAGGGTACCCAGTCTAGCAGATCATAACAGGTGGCATGTGTGTTTGAATCTGTGGGCACACATAGAAGGGGTGTACGTGTGTGTGTGTGTGTGTGTGTGTGTGTGTGTGTGTGTGTGTGTGATGGCACGAAGTTGACATTATCTTCCTCAGTTGCTCTCTGCTCTACCAAGGCAGGGTCTCTTACTGATTATTGACATTACTTGTTCTGACTAGGTTAGCTAGCTGGCATGCCCCATGAATCTGCTGTCTGTGTCTCCTGAATGACTGCAGTACAGGCAACCAACAAGCCTATCTAGTCTTTTTACATGGGTTCTAGAGATCTGAACTCCAATCCTCATGTTCACAGCACATACTTTATTTGCTTAGCCACCTCCTTAGCCTGATGGTCATGGGATTCTTATATTGACAGAAATCAAATTATTTATCCAAGTTGTATATAATGTGTGTATCATATATCATACAATGTGTGTTCTATCACCTCAATTTAAAAGATTAGGACTGGAACACTTCTACATTGCTGGAGGGAGTGCAAGCTGGTAAAACCCCTTTGTATGTCAGTGTGGTGATTTCTCAGAAAATTAGGAAACGACCTTCCTCAAGACCCAGTAATAACACTTTTGGGTATATATCCAAAGGATGCTCAATTGTGCCACATGGACATGTGCTCAATTATCTTCATAGCAGTTTTGTTTGTTATATCCAGAACCTGGAAACAACCTAAATGTCCCTCGATTGAAGAATGGATAAGGAAAATGTGGTACATTTACACAATGGAGTACTACACAGCAGAAAAAAAAATAATGACTGCTTGAATTTTGCAGGAAAATAGATGGATCCAGAAAACATTATTTTGAGTGAGGTAATTCAGACACAGAAAAACAATTATCACATGTACTCACTCATAGGTGGTTTTTAAACATAAAGCAAAGAAAGCCAGCCTACAAACCACAATCCCAGAGAACTTAGACAACAATGAGGACACTAAGAGAGACTTACATAGATCTAATCTACATGGGAAGTAGAAAAAGACAAGATATCTTTAGTAAATTGGGAGCATGGGACTTACATAGATCTAATCTATATGGGAAGTAGAAAGTAGAAAACCACAAGATCTCCTGAGTAAATTGGGAGCATGGGGACCTTGGGGAAGGATTGAAGGGGGAAGGGGAGAAACAGGGAGGGGAGCAGAGAAAAATGTAGAGTTCAATAAAAATCAATAAAAAAGATTAGGACTACCGTGTAAGAATACATGAGTATTCTTTAAGAGCAGAAATGTAAGTGAAGTTCAGAAACCATTTACATTAGTTTGTGCACAGAAGTGAGCACCAAGGATGGAGATTGAAAGCTTTATTTTTGTACACTTAAGACTACTATCTTGAGAGGACAATAATCAACTTTATATGGAAAAACAAAAAACCAAGGATAGCCAAAACAATCCTATACAATAAAGGATTGTCTGGAGGCATTACCATCCCTGACTTCAAACTCTATTACAGAGCTACAGCGATGAAAACAGTGTGGTACTGGCATAAAAACAGAGAAGTCGACCAATGGAATCGTATTGAAGACCCGAATTTTAACCCACAAACCGATGAACACCTCATTTTTGATAAAGGAGCCAAAAGTATACAATGGAAGAAAGAAAGCATCTTCAACAAATGGTGCTGGCATAACTGGATGTCAACCTGTAGAAGAATGAAAATAGACCCATATCTATCACCATGCACAAAACTCAAGTCCAAATGGATCAAACACCTCAATATCAGTCAGAACACATTGAACCTGATAGAAGAGAAAGTGGGAAGTACCCTACAGGAGATGGGCACAGGAGATCGCTTCCTATGTGTAACCCCAACAGCACAGACATTAAGGGCAACATTGAATAAATGGGACCTACTAAAACTTAGAAGCTTCTGTAAAGCAAAGGACACTGTCACCGCGACAAAAAGGCAGCCTACTGACTGGGAGAAGATCTTCACCAACCCCGCAACAGACAAAGGTCTGATCTCCAAAATATATAGAGAATTCAGGAAACTAGACTTTAAAATGCTAATTAACCCAATTAAAAATGGGGCACTGAACTGAACAGAGAATTCTCAGCAGAGGAAGTTCAAATGGCCAAAAGACACTTAAGGTCATGCTCAACCTCCTTAGCGATCAGGGAAATGCAAATCAAAACAACTTCGAAATATCATCTTACACCTGTCAGAATGGCTAAAATAAAAAACTCCAATGATAGCCTTTGCTGGAGAGGCTGTGGAGGAACGGGTACCCTCATCCATTGCTGGTGGGAATGCAATCTTGTGCAACCACTTTGGAAATCGGTGTTTCAGTTTCTCAGGAAATTCAGGATCAAACTACCCCTGGACCCAGCAATACCACTCCTGGGAATATACCCAAGAGAGGCCCGATCATATGACAAGAGCATTTGTTCAACTATGATCATAGCAGTATTATTTGTAATAGCCAGAACCTGCAAACAACTTAGATGCCCTTCAATGGAAGAATGGATGAAGAAAGTGTGGAATATCTACACACTAGAGTACTACGCTGCGGTAAAAAACAATGACTTCTCAAATTTTGCATGCAAATGGATGGAAATAGAAAACACTATCCTGAGTGAGGTAACCCAGACCCAAAAAGATGAATATGGGATGTACTCACTCATAATTGGTTTCTAGCCATAAACAAGGGTCACGGAGTCTACAATTGGTGATCCCAAAGAAGCTAACTAAGTAAGAAGGTGAACCAAAGGAAAAACATATAGTTGTCCTCTTGGCTATGAGAAGTAGACAAAATGGCCGGGGAGAAAATTGAGATCTTGGGGGTGGGGTGGGATGGGGGTAAGGGGAGATGGGAGAGAAAAGGGAGAAGGGGAGAATGGGGGGAACTTGGGGAAAAAGGAGGATTGGGATAAAGAAAGGTTGATAGGGGAGCACGAAAGCACAATTCTTAGTTAAGGGAGCCATCTTAGAGTTGGCAAGAGACTTGAACCTAGAGTGGCTCCCAGATGCCCAAGCCAAGGTCCCCAGTTAGTTCCTTGGGCAGATGAGGATAGGGAACCTGAAATGACCCTATCCTATAGCAATACTGACAAATATCTTGCATATCACTATAGAACCTTCATCTGGTGATGGATGGAGATAGAGACAGAGACCCACACTGGAGCACTGGCCTGAGCTCCCAAGGTCCGAATGAGGAGCAGAAGGAGGGAGAACATGAGCAAAGAAGTCGGGACCACGAGGGGTGCACCCACCCACTGAGACAGTGGAGCTGATCTATTGGGAGCTCACCAAGGCCAGCTGGACTATGACTGAAAAAGCATGGTATAAAACTGGACTCTCTGAGCATGGCGAACAATGAGGGCTGATGAGAAGCCAAGGACAATGGCATGGGGTTTTGATCCTACATAATGTGTTGGCTGTGTGGGAGCCTAGCCAGTTTGGATGTTCATCTTCCTAGAAATGGAATGAGAGGGGAGGACCAAGGACTTACCACAGGGCAGGGAACCCTGACTGCTCTTTGGACTGGAGAGGGAGGGGGAGAGGAGCGGGGGGAGGGTGAGAAGGGTGGGGGGAGGGTGAGAAGGGTGGGAGGAGGGGGAGGGAAATGGGAGGCTGGGAGGAGGTGGAAACTTGTTTTTTTTTTCTCCTTTTCTCAATAAAAAAATGGAAAAAAAAAGACTAGTAGATTGTTTCAAGGAGCAAAAGTACTTTTTATTACAAGGAACATCCAGTGGAATCCTTTAGAATAGGAAATAGCAGTACTGTAAAAATAAAACATACAGGGGAATATAAACCAGAAAGGGAGACCACCAGGTAATGTGCTATATTTTCTCAAAAATACACCACTGTACACCAATGTACTATGTCACTAAGAATAGATCCTGCTTACCTTTTGTAATAGCTTTTGAGTTTTTCACTGTTTAAACACATTGTAATCTACTCAATTTTTTGTAGACAATTCTATGGTTTCTTGGTTATCTCTTTTTTGGGGGAAGGGGGAAGCTCCATGGTTCTAGAAGTGAAATTTTAGAAGAAAAGCATATACATATTGGCCCCATGCTTTTAGAAAGACTAACAATTTATATTCTCAGCTTGCCAGGAGTCTAAAGCAGTGACTCTCAACCTTCATAATGTTGTGACCCTTTAATACAGTTCATGTTGTGACCACAACCATAAAATTACTTTCATTGCTACTTCCTAACAGTAATTTTGCCACTGTTGTGGATCATTATGTAAATATCTATGTTTTCTGACAGTCTTAGGCAACCCCTGTGAAAGGGTTGTTTGACTCCCCCAGGGGTCATGACCCACATGCTGAGAACCATTGTTCTAAAGAATTATCTTCAGACACATCTGACAAGTCTTTCTTCAGGCAAGCATTAAAAATCAGTTTGCTTGCCTGGGGGTGTTGGCGCAGGCCTTTAATCCCAGCACTTGGGAGGCAGAGGCAGGAGGATCTCTGTGAGTTCGAGGCCAGCCTGGTCTACAAAGGGAGTTCCAGGACAGGCTCCAAAGCTACAGAGAAACCCTGTCTCGAAAAACCAAAAAAAAAAAAAAAATCAGTTTGCTCAGATTAGCAGTTGGCAGTGTTTCCATCACTTTGTTAGATAATGTCATGGTGGTCGAACTACAGTTGTATTATAGACAAAATTCCTGCTGGCTGGAGCTGGCTGGGGCTAAAGATGAGAAGAAAAACAACAACAACAACAATAAAGTAAGTCTTTTGTAGCTTCATGGAGACCGAAGAGCTTGAGTGATTTGCTGTGTCACCACCCGGCAAAGAAATCCCACGTCTATCTCCACGTTAGAAATGATTACAAACTCCTGGACCTAGGAAAGCGTAGGGTGGGGAAAGGATGGGAAAACAGAAAGAGGAGGCAGGTTTCTTTGATCTAAATCATCTGACCTCAGATCTGTGGCGAACTCTGTTCATTCTCTCCACTCTGTCTGCCCACAACACACAAACAAGCACAACATACAGCAACTGTGGCAGCACACAAAGACGCCATCTTCTTCCTGCTTCAAGTGTGGACTTTCCACAGTTCCAGGTTATCCAAGAAGGTACTAGGCTATTGAGTAAAGCTACTCGAGATGACTCTAGCTAGGTGTATTCTCACCTGTTTCAAATTCTTTCTTGTTTTTTATTTTATTTTATTTTTGTGAGATAGGGTTTCGCTGTAATTTTTTAAAATATTTATTTATTTACTTATTTATTATGTATACAATATTTTGTGTGTATGCCTGCAGGCCAGAGGAGGGCAGTAGACCCCATTACGGATGGTTGTGAGCCACCATGCGGTTGCTGGGAACCGAACTCAGGACCTTTGGAAGAGCAGGCAATGCTCTCAACCTCTGAGCCATCTCTCCAGCACCTTTCGCTGTAATTTTAGAGCCTGTCCTGGAACTAGCTCTTGTAGACCAGGCTGGCCTCGAATTCACAGAGATCCACCTGTCTCTGCCTCCCGAGTGCTGGGATTAAAGGCGTGTGCCACCTCCCCCTCCCCGCACCTGTTTCAAATTCTGCACTAAATTTGAATAGTCTATTGTTCACCACTTCAGTATAAAAGTTATACACAGAAAAAAAAAGTTATACACAGTAGATGTAAAGGTGTAGAAAACCTAATTATAGCTTTATATCTTAAAAAAATAAAGATTAAATGATTCCTTTAATTAACTGCCCAAGATCACTTAAGCACACCTGATTTATAATCACATAGATATGTGTGCATATGTGCATAAGTGCCTGCAGAGGCCAGAGGCTTCAGGATCCCCCTAAAGTTAAATTACAGATGGTTGTGAGCTAACCAGCATGGGTTCTGGGAATCCGAACTCGTCCTCGTCCTAACAACTGAACCGTTTCTCTATTCTCTCAAAATAACTTTTTTAAGGTTTTGTAGTTAAAGGAAAATTATTTGTGAACTTATGGCATCCTCAGTTAAGCAATGAGGGCTTAAAGTATATAAGTAGCGTATCTGTGCACTTTGTGTGGGAAAGTTATTAATATGCTTTATTCAGTCCGAGATTCCTGAGTGAACTTCCCGCCTTCACTCAGCCTAATTCTTTCCAATTTTACATTCTTCTTCCCACTCGGATCTCTCCAACCCTTTTCATATCACACTCTCCCTCTGGTTCTTAGCAACTCCTGAAGCTCCGCCCCTCCTCGCTCGCCCCGCCCCCTAGCCGCACCTTCAGCTAGCACCATTTCTCTTCAGTCTTCACAAGCCTCACCCCAGTGGCCCTAACACTCTCCGTCGGCCCCGCCCCTTTCCTATGCCCCGCCCAGTCCCTTTGCTCCTCCCCGATCCCGCCCAACTCGCTTCGCCCCGCCTCCACGCGATCCGCCTACCTCTCGCTCCGCCCTCCGCCTCGCCTCCTCTCTCCTCTAGGCCCGCCCCTCTGACCCCGATGCTTCGCTCCAGTTCCTCCACTTGCGTGGGGCCCGGAGCCCCTCATTCCGCAGTCCCGTGACCCGCCCTTCCCCAACGCCTCGCCCCTATCATCCACGCTAGTCCCGCCCCGCGCTGCAGGTACCGCCCCGTTCGCACCGTTCGGCTAGCCCCGCCCCGCCTTCCGGCTCCTCCCCTGCAGCACCTTTGCAAGTAGGCCCCTGCGCGCTGACGTCACACGCCGACGACAGGGACGCGGGCCGTTCCTCTTTCCCCCATCCTCAGCCCCAGGGTTTTGGGGCGGCTACGTGGGGCGTCCCTACCTTGAGCCGGTGCAGTCGCCCGCAGCCCGGAATCCATGGTCACTGTGGCGAGGCGGGAGGACGCAGGGGGCATCTAGCCCCCCAGTCGCACGTGCTGCGGCTCCGCGCCCGGCCCTGCCTCCTGGCCCTGTGAAGTTGGGGGCGGTACCCAGTCACTCCCCCTGTGCCGCCGCCGTTTCCAAGGGGTCAGAAACCGCTGTGTTTGCGTCGTCCGCGGAGCCGGGCTCCGTGGTGCGGGCGTTTGCCTGGCCGGCCGGAGGCGAGCCTGACGCATCAGCCGGAGACCCGTGCCAGGGCTGTGAGCGGCTGCTGGAGAGACAGACTCGCTTTCTCTTTCAGCATGCCTTTTTCAAAGTGCACCGTGGTGCCGCTGCCTTAAGCCCTAGGGGAAGACCCTGCTGCCTCTGGACTGGTGCTTCTGGTCGCCACTGTTATTCTGAATCAAGTACCTTGTCATTGAGGTGAGTTTCTCGTGGGGGAAGCAGTGGTAGACAGGATGGTGAAGTCACTGAGAGCCAGGAGACTTGTGTGGACGCTCTGTAAAGTGCATGGATGCCCTCCCAAGTGTTTGCACGTGAAGCACCTTCAGCTCATTAAAATGTAAACTCGTCTCTCCAAGCAGTTCTTTGATATAAAATGACAATGCAATCTTAGTGGATGATAAGCAGTCATTTAAATGGATCTGATGCCTTTGATGTTATCTGTGTATTTTAATGAGAAAATGAATAACAGTTAACTAATTAACCTAAAAGCTAATGTATGACTTCTCTTCATGATTTGACACAATTTCCATGTGTAAAGTATTCAAATTTTTACTACTTTAAATAATTTAGTGGAACTTTGGGGAGGGTTCCTGGGGATTGGATACAGGACTTCATTTTTTCTAGGCAGGTTATCTGCCCGATCAATTTTTTTTCTCTCCTGTAAGACCTCCGAGAAGCAGAAATATTTTTATTGCCTACATAAATCACATCAGAAATGTTTGTGAAGGCTTAAAAGCCCTAGTCCTTCTAAGCGCTAATGATGGGCTTTTCTTAAGATGCAGTAAGTAGAGATGAAGGGCTGCAGCCAAACACAAAGAGTAGTTCTTTGTTTCTAGTTTTGAGAATCTGGATGTCTGCAGTTAAAATTGTCTCTTCTAGGGAAACCCGAGTAACCTATTTTGTGGGGAAACTGGTTTTTACACAGAAAAAAGTCTGTTAGAAATCTGATAAAAGCTGTGGAACTTCGCCACAGAAGTTCTTTTGAGGTCATATTAATAATACATTAGCATTGTATCCCAAGCAGATTTTACTCTCTAGTCTGCTTTCTTTTCTAAATTATGGACATAATAGCTTTTCATGCATTTTAAGTTTGTCTTTGTATGTTGGTAGTTTTTACCTCAAACTCCTTGAATGTTGCCTGAATATATTTACCAAGAAGAAAACACTTACTGTAAAAAATAAATAGTAGCAATCCTCTATTTTGTTTTCTAATTTATTCTCAGTTATGAAAAATAGAGAAGGATTTTCCTCTCTGAGAAGATACATTGACCCTTTCTACAGTTCAGGCTGTTTCTATTGTTTTGGAAGAACTGTGTGTTTAGACTGCCTGTAGGCAGTACCAGGAAATTTCTTGGCATCTGTTTTCATCTATTCCTAATGTTTCCCTTTGGAATAACCTGTCCATCAAATATCTGAAACAGCTATGCTTACTGCCAGTCAGTATGTGTTTTCCTGATTGATGGAGATGCAGTTTTAAATTCATGTAATCTGACAGTTTTCACATGTGGTTCATAATATTGTGTCAAATATTGCTTATTTTTAATAGTTCTTAAAAAGGAAGATACCTAATTTGTCTAGAGCTACGGGATTAAAAAGCAACATGATATTGTGGCAAAACTTTAAATGTTAAGGTAAAAAAGTTTGGACATTGTTTGAGGTTTTTCTCCTTCAATGTTAAGGATTAGTCCCAGGATCTGGTGCATTCTAGGCAGGTCCTTCTGCTGCCAAGCTGTATCCCCTTTCCTGTTCAGATATTCAAGTAGGGCCAGCAAGATTGTCACCAAGCCTGATCAGTCTCCATGACCTACCTACATGGTGGAAGAAAAGAACTGACTCCCACAAGTTGCCCCCCCCCCCGCCGCACACACAGTCTGTCTGTCTTTCTAAATACATACATTTTAAAACATTTAAAAATTAAAGTGAAAAAATTGATTTACTCAGTTTCTTCCTACTTGTATCAGTATACATGGCTTATTAAAAGTTTAACTTTATTATTTTGACTAGCTAATCAATTCTTATAGTTCAAAATTCAGACAATACAAAAGATCAAAGAATTCTCAACTGTTCACTTCCCTTTTTAAAAGCAATATTACTAGTTTTTGTGTCCTTACAGAACTATTTCTTCTATAAATGTGTTTGTTGCCAACTTGATACAAATCTAGACATATCTTGGAAAAGGGAGTCTCACTTGAAGGCTTGCCTCAGTCAGATTGTCCTGTACATGTCTGTGAGCATTTTCTTGATTAACGATTGGTGTGGGAGAGCTCAGTCTACTGTAGGTGGGGCCACCATTAGGCGCATGGTCCTGGTTGTGTAAGAAAGCCAGTTGATGCAGGTGGTATATGTTATTATCTTTTCTTTCACTTCATTTGAAACTGTTTTCTAGTATAATAAATTAGTTGTAAAGTCTAACAACTATGAAATAGGTAGCTTGTTTTCCTTCTGATTTACATTGACTGCAGAAAAGGAGAACTTGTCATGTGTTCCAAAACTCATTAACATGAATCTGATTGCTCAGAAAGGTACCTGTTGGTAGAGGCTGCTTGTTTGTTCCTGGTCGACCAGACACGAAATAATCACACAGAAACTATATTATTTGCAATGCTGTTGGGCTAATAGCTTAGTTGTATTGCTAGCTAGCTCTTATATCTTAAATTAACCCATTTCTATTAATCTTTGTATCACCATGTGGTTGTGGCCTACCAGTAAGGTTTCTTCTGGCATCTCCTGCTGTAGCTGTATGGCTTCTCCTTTGATATAGGTATGAATAATTTGCATTAGTATAGATTTTGCTTTATTGATAGAGATTTAAGGTCAATTTTGTTACATATATATAGAAGTGTTTCTGATTTTGATTAAGGTATTGTGATTGTGTAGTTCATTTAAATATGTACTGTATAATTAAGAAATATAGGTTGTTAATGGATAATCATCGATAATAGTAAAGCTTGTAGTCATGTTAGTTAGATTTTGTAGATATATAGAGATTTATTTTAGATAGACATTCTTCATGTCTTTCAAAGATTACAGAATAGGACATTTAATGTTTTAATAACTGAGGACTTTTCATGACAATGAGACACTCTGCTCCTGGCAGCACCAATGTACTTCAAGAGGAAGATGGGCATCGAAGAGGCTCGTTATTGAGTTTGGTAGCCATTTGGGCAAGAAACTGCTCTTGCCTGGACTATTGCATAAACTGGACACAGAGAACCCACAGAGAGAGGACTACTGAACTTGCCTAAGGTGAGATGATCTTTCGGGGTTCCTGATTCATTCTGAAAGAGTCTGCGAGACATTCTGCAGGACACAACAGATAGTGACTGAACTGACTTTGAATTTTCCTGCTTTATGGAAATGTCTGCTGGATAGCATGGGCCTGAAGGCTGAAGATGGATGCCCCAACGGTACAGAGGATCTTTGGGTGACTGTCCAGGCAGCGCGATGTCTTTGTCATTTCTAGAGTTTGAAGTTTCTTGGTTCTTGTTTACTTAGGTAATATTATATCTTTCTGGAGTCTTTGATGGAGTTAAGAATAGTTAGTTATAGTTATAGTTTTCCTTAGTTATGATAAAGATTATTGTAACTTTTACTTGATAACTGTTTTGTTATATGTAATTTTGCTATGTTAAAGTTAAAGTTTTTTTTTTTTTTTTTTTGTTTAAACCGAAAAAGGGGAAATGATGGAGGAAGGTCATTGGCTAATAAAGGAACTGCCGTGGCCCATTTTATTGGTTAGAGGATAGGTGGGAGGAGAAAAAGAACAGAATGCTGGGAGGAAGAGGAAGTGAGCTCAGACTCCACAGCTCTCCTATCGGGAGCAGACGCCTCAGAGAGAGAGACGCCATGCCCTGCTCCCAGGCAGACACATGCCATGAAGCTCAGACCCAGGATGGACTAGGCTAGAATCTTCCCGGTAAGACCGGTTCTCACAGATTATTAGAGATGGGATGATCGGGATATCAGAATTAGCCAATAAGGGCTAGAGCTAAAGGGCCAAGCAGTGCTTAAAAGAATACAGTTTCCGTGTAATTATTTTGGGTAAAGCTAGCCGTGGGGGCGGCCGGGTGCCGGGGATGCAGCCCCACCACTCTTATTACTACACTCCTTGACTCTGCCTCTCTCTCCTCCTCTATCTGGTAAGCCACTGTCTGAAACAGCTTTATTTATTAACCAAGAAAAACAACACATAGACAGGACTTCCCACACCATTGATAAACAATGTGTTTATCATTGTTTGATGGCAATTAGAATTATTTTTTTTACCAAAAGCAATAAATTTGGCTTTACTGAATTAGAACCACAAAGCTCAGTATGTGGATGGCAATAGAATTACAGAATAGGAACACTAATAGGTTCTGCCTTTTTGGTATAGTATCTAGAAAGGAATTGACAATTAAATTTGGAAAAAGAGCCAAATTGACAAATTTTGTTTTCTCCTCTCTTCGAAAAACGTCACAAAACAATGATGGTTATGAAATAACCTCATGATGTGGCTATTATTTAATGTAATTTTATTTCATGGAATTGAGTCTTCTAAGATAAGTTTATCATCTCTAAGTAGTGTAGTATTATGATACATTGAGCTTCCATGTTCTGGGAATAGCATTAAGTTTTGGCTGATTCCCAGATACCCATTATACTATGCCAGTTGATTCAATGTAGGCCATGTTTGGAATGACTTTTCCTCTCTATCCTACTGTTGATGGCTGGATTTTTATGATAATATTTTAATTCTTAGTTCTCTTAAAGTTGCTAAAAGAATTTTTATTATAACAATTGAAATGAGATCTGATTATAATGTTTATTAATGTTGAGGAAGGTTCTTTTTTCACAAAATTTAACAAGATAATTATCAATTTTACTACAGGCTGGATTTTAACTTTTATTTTTCAGGACTATATTATGAATTCTGTAACTTAAGAAAATCGAACCTTTTTAAGGGAAATTTAAAAATTTAGTATTGGTGGATGAGGTGGTGAACTGTGGCAGAAACTTTAAGTTTCCTGAAAGCCCATTTCCTCCTAGAAGGGAATTATACATTGGAATGTGCTTGCTGTGAATGGAAACAGAGCATCTTGGGTGAATAAAGTATTAGTTTCAGACTAAAATAGTGAATTTATGTATTCTGCAGAAGAGAAATCTTGCCCTGGCTGTGTTGATTACTGCTTTTATGACTTTCACATGCTTCCTTTCTTAAGCTCTCATTAACTAGTGTATTTTTTCTGACTTATCCTAAAATTATAATTGTTCAAGCTATTGTATTAGTCATGATTCTCTAGAGAAACAGAATAGATGGGGGTTTATTAGAGTGGCTTACAGGCTGTGGTCTAGCTAGCCCAACAATGGCTCTGACCAGATGGAAAAGCAAAGAATCTCGTCCACAAGGTTAGTCTTCAATCCTGAAGATGAAGTTTTTAATGGCAGTGAAGGGGTGCTTCAGCAGTGGGCTTGATGAGCTTGCCCTCGGGAGTGAAGGCAAGCAGGTAAAGAGCCAAAGCGTCTGTCCTCCATGGCGTGGCGGTAGGCAGGAAGGCATGGCGTAGTACTGGAGTGGTAGTTGATACCTTTATATCCTTTTATGTGGACTGTCACCAAAGGTGTAGCCCAGATTTTAGGATGGGTCTTCTGATCTCAAGTGATGCAGATTTGGAGTGGGTCTTCCCACCTCAAATGATCCAGCCAAGAAAATCCCTTACAGGCGTGCCCAGCTGCTTGGGTTTTAGTTGATTCCAGGTATAGTCAAGTTGACAACTAGGATTAGCCAAGCTACTAACAACTTTATCTTGGTTGGAAAATCTTTGAGGTATACTAATCAAGCCAGTTCATATTAAGCTGGGAGTGGAGGTACACACTTGTACCCTAGCATTTAGGACTGAAAAGGAGGACAGTTAGTTTGAGACCAGCCTGGATTACATTAAAAACCTGTCTCAAAAATAAAGTTTTTACTTTTATGACAGATGAATATTTCATTAAATAGTAAGGTTTTGCATACTAATAAAAGACTATGCAAGTAGAACTGGGCAAACAGTTTACAGGAAGTACAAATGTTGAATAAATATGGAAGAAATTTTCAGATTAATCAGTAAGCAGAAGAATTGAAATGTAGCACTGTCCATCAGAAACAGGAACACAGTGACACATGCCTTAGGTCGTTCTTGGTGTATTGCTTTAATTACCCTCACAGTGATTCTTTAAGCGCATACTGTGTTTATCACATTTATAGGTGAATAAATTGAGATACAGAAGGCATTAGTGTAAGGCAGTGGTTCTCAACAGCTCTGATACTGCACCTTTTAGTGCAGTTCCTCATGCTGTGGTGACCCCCAATCATAAAATTATTTTGTTACTACTTCACAGCTGTAGTTTTGCCACTGTAATGAATTATATTGTAAATATCTCATATGTAGCTATCTGATATGCAACCCCTATGAAGGGTAGTTCAACTGCCCAAGGGGTCGCAACCCACAGGTTGAGTACCACTGGTCTAAGGTCATGTGACAAGTAATATAACCAGGACATAGCTCTGTCTTAGTGTTGTGTGGAGACACAGTGACGAAGACAACTCTTACAAAGGAAAGAATTTAACTAGGGACTTGCTTATGGTTTCATAGGGATAGTTTATTGTGAAGGGAGCATGGCGGCAGGCAGGAAGGCATGGCACAGTGCTGGAGTGGTAGCTGATACCTTTACATCCTGATCCACAGGCAGGTCTGCAGAGGAAAGTGGGGCACTGAGCCTGGTATGGTCATGTGAAATCTCAAATCCTACTCCCAGTGATAAACCTCCTCCAACAAGGCCACGCCTTCTAGCCTTCTAAAGAGTTCTTCACCTGGGGACTAAAAATGCAAGTATATGAGCCTGTGGGGCTGTTCTTACTCAAACCACCACAAGCTCTAGGGTCCAGTGCTCTTTTTAGACACTGAAGTTTGTTATAACTGCAAGTGCAGATGTCAGTGGGGGCATGTGTGCCATGCGCATGTGTGGAAGCCAAGCAGCAACTTTGTGGAGCTTTCTCCTTCCAGGGATCCAACTCTGCTCTCCAAACTTGCTTAGCAAGTGCCTTTAACCCACTGAGCCATCTTGCAGGCCAGCTCTTTAACTACTGCCTTTTGTTGCTTCTTTGATATCTTTATAAAGAATAGCCACTGTTGGTAAGAGTGTTTAAGAGTCAGCATTTTATACAGTATTGGTTACCGTAGTAGATGTTTACCACTCTAGTGGGTCTGTGAACCGGAGAGAGTGGGGCCTAAAGAGGAGGTGGGCCGAAGTCTCATGCGATAGCCACCTTTATTCAGAGCAGCAGAAGTTTATACTCTGAGGGCTGAGTCACATGAGTAAAGAGTACAATCACGGGAAAACATTTTTTCCACAGAGCAGATGAATGACAGCAGCTGAAATAAACACTACACCTGGATTAAGCATGACAACACATGCTGGCACAACTGGATGTCAACCTGTAGAAGAATGAAAATAGACCCATATCTATCACCATGCACAAAACTCAAGTCCAAATGGATTAAAGACCTCAATATCAGTCTGAACACACTGAACCTGATAGAAGAGAAAGTGGGAAGTACCCTACAACAGATGGGCACAGGAGATCGCTTCCTAGGTATAACCCCAGCAGCACAGACATTAAGGGCAACATTGAATAAATGGGACCTACTAAAACTGAGAAGCTTCTGTAAAGCAAAGGACACTGTCACTAAGACAAAAAGGTAACCTACTGACTGGGAGAAGATCTTTACCAACCCTGCAATAGACAAAGGTCTGATCTCCAAAATATATAGAGAACTCAAGAAACTAGACTTTAAAATGCTAATTAACCCAATTAAAAAATGGGGCACTGAACTGAACAGAGAATTCTCAACAGAAGAAGTTCAAATGGCTAAAAGACACTTAAGGTCATGCTCAACCTCCTCAGCAATCAGGGAAATGCGAATCAAAACAACTTTGAGATATCATCTTACACCTGTGAGAATGGCTAAAATAAAAAACTCCAATGATAGCCTTTGCTGGAGAGGCTGTGGAGGAACGGGTACCCTCATCCATTGCTGGTGGGAATGCAATCTTGTGCAACCACTTTGGAAATCGGTGTTTCAGTTTCTCAGGAAGTTCGGGATCAACCTACCCCTGGACCTAGCCATATCACTCTTGGGAATATATCCAAGAGATGCCCGATCATATGACAAAAGCATTTGTTCAACTATGTTCATAGCAGTATTATTTGTATTAGCCAGATCCTGGAAACAACCTAGATGTCCTTCAATGGAAGAATGGATGAAGAAAGTGTGGAATATATACACAGTAGAGTACTACGCTGCGGTAAAAAACAATGACTTCTCAAATTTTGCATGCAAATGGATGGAAATACAAAACACTATCCTGAGTGAGGTAACTGAGACCCAAAAGGATGAACATGGGATGTACTCACTCATAATTGGTTTCTAGCCATAAATAAGGGACACGGAGTCTACAATTAGTGAACCTAAAGAAGCTAAATAAGAAGGTGAACCCAAGAAAAAACATATTGTTATCCTCTTGCCTATGGGAAGTAGACAAAATTGCCGGGGAGAAAAGTTGGATCTTGGGGGTGTGGTGGGTTGGGGGTAAGGGGAGATGGGGAGAGAAAAGTGATAAGGGGAGAATGGGGGGAACTTGGGGAAACAGGATGATTGGGATAAAGGAAGGCTGAATAGGGGAGCACGGAAGCACAATTCTTAGTTAAGGGAGCCACCTTAGGGCTGGCAAGAGACTTGAACCTAGAGTGGCTCCCAGGAGCCCAAGGCGATGTCCCCAGTTAGTTCCTTGGGCAGATGAGGATAGGGAACCTGAAACAACCCTATCCTATAGCAATACTGACGAATATCTTGCATATCACTATAGAACCTTCATCTGGTGATGGATGGAGATAGAGACAGAGACCCACACTGGAGCACTGGACTGAGCTCCAAAGGTCCCAATGAGGAGCAGAAGGAGGGAGAAGATGAGCAAGGAAGTCAGGACCACGAGGGGTGCACCCACCCACTGAGACAGTGGGGCTGATCTATTGTGAGTTCAGCAAGGCCAGCTGGACTATGACTGAAAAAGCATGGGATAAAACTGGACTCTCTGAACATGGCGAACAATGAGGGCTGCTGAGAAGCCAAGGACAATGCCACGGGGTTTTGATCCTACTTAATGTGCTGGCTTTGTGGGAGCCTAGCCAGTTTGGATGTTCACCTTCCTAGACATGTACGGAGGGGGGAGGACCTTGGACTTTCCACAGGGCAGGGAACCCTGACTGCTCTTTGGACTGGAGAGGGAGCAGGAGAAGAGTGGGGGGAGGGGGAGAAGGGTGGGAGGAGGGGGAGAGAAATGGGAGGCTGGGAGGAGGGGGAAACTTTTTTTTTTCTCAATAATAAAAAAAAAAGAACAGTTCTGTGTTTTGATAAAATCGAGGTCACAAGACTGTGTTTTCTTGGAGTTTTCTCACAAGCACTCAGGAATTCTCACAATTCTCACATGCCTTCGTTCTTGGACCATGTTCTGACAGATTTCTGCAAGATGCTTAAGTAATATGTTTGCAAGCTTTAATTAACACCTGCATTGTCTTTGATTTCAGATTTTATCTTAAGAAAATCCTTACAATAAATAACAAAATATACGTACAGAAATTTTACCTTCAATTGTTGAAACAACTTTGAAAAATTGTCTTACTAAGCTTTATTCTTATTAAAATAATAAAATAATGCTACTTGTTCATGTAGGAAAAAGATTGCCTTCATGTGCCTGTGTTGTAAATATGTTTACTGCTGGATACTTCAAAGCATTCTAATAAAACTGAAACATCAATATTTCTTGTTTTGTTCTAAGTGTAAAGTGTAAGTTTCAGTCAAGATATTAAATATCTTTGTATTAAGACTTGCCTAATCTCTGCTAATTCTTTTGCATGTAGCTACCCTATAAAAATGCCTTAAGAAAGAGCCATGGAGAAGTATGTTAGACTACAGAAGATTGGAGAAGGCTCATTTGGAAAAGCTGTTCTTGTTAAGTCCACGGAGGATGGCAGGCATTATGTTATCAAGGAAATTAACATTTCAAGGGTAAGTACATTTTTACTTTGTTTGCAGAAGTAGTAATTTGGTCAGCCTAGGATCAAATATTAAATATTTATTATTTATCAGAGAAACACATAACCTAGTGAGGAAGAGTGCTATGATCCCATCAGGACCACTACGTCACTGGAGTCTGTGTGTCCTTTCAGATTTTTTCCTTTTTGTTCCTGTACAGTATGTAGAAACATATACTTACAGTCCTGTGACTTACTGTAGATTGGGCACGCTTAATGGGCTTCACTTACGGATTCAGTTCATTCCTTTGTAACATACTGCTATAGTTTTTAATGTTTGTTATTGTTACCGTGCTGTATTAGTAGCATTTTTAACCACTCTCTTATAGGTGGACTTTTACCTTTTATTAGTGGCTTTACTATTTTCTTCCATTTAAGATGTCCGGCAAAGAACGGCAGGAATCAAGGAGAGAAGTTGCAGTGTTGGCAAACATGAAGCATCCAAATATTGTCCAATATAAAGAATCCTTTGAAGGTCAGATATATTTTGCAAACATTTAAAATAAGCTCTAAGATACTTACAACTTTTGGGTATTTTCCTTTAAGGAATTATTTTGTGAATGTATTTTCAGTAAAAATACTTTTTGTTTTTGTTGTTTCATAAATATACATGTTAGTATTAGTTTGATTCTAGGATAGTAGTGATACCCTCATAGCTTAATATTGACTTACTGTTATTAACAATTACTTAAGAAGAAGCAATATAGTACAAAAATTTTGAGTGGGCAAAATTAATAGCAACATTTTAACCTTAAATTTCCCTATAAGTATTTCTACTGACACTGAGAAAATGTTCTGATCTTGATTTTTGTAAAAACCATTACCTTATTTTTGATGATTTCATGTATGCATATAACTTAATCATATTCCACATGCAGCCCATTGCTTTCTTCTTCCAAGCACTCCCTTCCTACTTTCATGTCTTCTCTTTTTAATAACCCACAGACTTTAACTAGGGTTGCTTGCATGTGGACAGGTATGGGGTGCTGGCTGAAGGAGTTCCCACAATGTAGTCGTGTCAAAGACTTCCATAATGGGGTTATTTCTTGGGCAGTTTACCAGTGATGACAGCCCTGAGGAAAAATGACTCGTCCTTGCCCAGTAGCCTTTAACTACCATATATCCTCTTCTAGGAGTGGGTCCTCATGGGCCCTCCCAGTCCATCCTAGAACGTGGTGAACAGGCCCATCTGCACCTAGGAGTCATCTGAATGATTCAAATGTACTTCATTTTAAGCATTACCTGTCACCATATATGTTCAGAAGGCATAGACAGGCATGACTACAAGTTCTCGGTTCTTCTAAGTTCACCTTCATTCGAACTCCCTAGGAATTAGTGTGGTTGACAGCCAGTGTTGATTCTTAGCCTGTTTTCTGTGCCTACATGACATGTGCTGTGTTAGGGAAACAAAGTGCTTGGTTTTTCTCTCTGTCCTGGCACCACAATTCTGAAGACTTCTGTAACTCAAAAGCTGTGGGAGTCTTTCCAGTAGCAAAGAAGCAGCTGTACAGTGGATAGCAGCTAGAAGCCCACTAATCCAGTCCACATCAGACACTGTCTACTTGCGGGGAGACTGGGGACAGTACTGGTCCACGCTGTCCCTATTTCAGACCCATTAGCCAGTGCAGAGCTGTGAATTTCTGCCAAATAAGCTACAATGGACTTTCCCATGACCGCCCTTCAGATCTGATCAACTTGCTCCAGCAGCTCACAGAACTCTAGGAAACACTGCACTTGAATTATAGCTAAGACATGCCATACATATATAGCACACGTATGTCTTTTATAATGAACACAAATTCACACCCAGACTGTTAGAAAACAGTAATTACAATGTCTGGGGCTTTTGGCTTCTAAACTTAGTAGTGGTAAAGGAAAGGTGCTAGAAATAGCCAAGCAGTGCGCTTGGACTGAGTTTTCTATTTCATGTCCCGTTAATGTTTCCGTTGTGCTCTTAGTTATTCTCTGTCTATGTCACTGGCTTATGTGGTTTTTGTGTTTTGTTTTGTTTCAACATCAAGCAGTTTCTAAGGTAGTAGTTTTGGGTTTTAGGGGTCCTTTAAAAGCCTGTAAGGCTATTAGTGATGAAGGGGTTTTTGTGTATCTGTAGTCCTGTTCAAATTAATCTGACAAACAGGTGGTGGTATGATGTTAGAAAGAATACAAAACAGATCATTACCCCTCTAACGAAGGAAATCCTTTTCTGTTAATGATATATTTAAGTAGGTATTGATTTAAACCTGGGCGTGGTGCCACACCTGCAATACTAGTTAGTACTAGGGAGGGAGAATCAGGAGGATTGTGAGTTTGAAGTCAGCCTGGGTAACATCTGGAGAGACCTTGACAAGCAGGCATGCAAGCAGGGGGTAGATGAGTGGGAGCACGGGGAGAGGGAGATGGGAAGGGGAGAGAGAAGGAGAGAACAAATGAAAATTTGCTCCAATAGAGAGCTGAGTAGCAGAAAATATAGCTAATTCATATACTGAATCCCCGACATTACTCAATTTTCTTTGTGTTCTGTGTAACTTCTGTAGTCTCACCTCTGTTTCCCCATCTTCCATTGCTGGAGATCAGATATGTGGCCGTTTTCATTCACATCACCATGCAGGGCCTCTGCATAGTCCTGACTGTCTGGGAACTCAACAGAGATCGGCCTGCCTCTGCTTCCTGAGTGCTGGTTTTAAAGGCATGTGCCACTGCGCCTGGCCACTTCATCTGAATTCTTACTAGAGTTTAATGAAGAGAATGAATAAGTAAATTATTTTCTCCTTATTCCCATGAGCCTTCTGCAATAGATAGTTTGTGCCCACAGTTTAACACTTTTACTTCTTTAAAGAATAAAGATTCTGAGCGCTAATACATAAGAATGTGTGTTATAGATTATTTAGATTATTAATTAACATAGATTATTATTAACATAAGTTACAGAATTACTCAAACTGTGATTTTCATCAGGAAACTTTGTTTCCTGGAACCCTTTTTTAGACATTGTGGTAGTCAGGGCGACTGTCACCGTAATAAACACCATGACCAAAGCAGCTTGGGGAGGAGAGCGCTTGTTCATCTTAACACTTCCACATCACCGCTCTTCATTAAAGGAAGTCAGGAGAGGAGCTCAATCAGGGCAGGAACCTGGGGCAGGAGCTGGTGCAGAGGCCATAGAGGGGTGCTGCTTACCAGCTTGCTCAACCTGCTTTTTTATAGAACCCAGGACTGCCTGCCCAGGGATGGCACAACTCACAAGGGGTTGGGCCCTCCCCCGTCAATCACTAATTAAGAAAATGCCTTGCAGCCTGATCTTATAGAGGCATTTTCTCAACTGAAGCTCCCTCTGTGATGGTTCTAGCCTGTGTCAAGTTGCTATAGAAGCAGCCAGTACGGTCATGGTTACATCTTCAGAGGTTGATATGACAAATAGTTGACACTTAGCAATTCTTTGTTTAATAAATCAGAAGAGAAGAGAAATTATGTTTAAATAATCATTAAAGATTTTAAGTGAGTGTTTGAAAATAGACAGTCATATAAGCCAGCTTATTTAAACCAACTGAGGAAATAGCAGTTGAGTGAAGCTACACTTTTAAATATAAAGTGTCATGTATACATAAGCAGTGTGCAAATCTATAAATCAAGGCTGCTGTCCATATGATCATGTTCTGATGTACTGTGCAGTAATTCTAGTAGGGTATGCTAGTTGGCGTGTTATACTGTCAAACGCTACACAGACCAGGTCTTGGAATGACAAACACGCTTTACTTCTGTGAATGTTGAAGTCAAGGCCATCGTGATGCAAAGCAGAGAGATTGGAGGCTTTATCTAATTGCAGGTGGTGGACTATGCTTCCAAGACCCACAGATGATGTGTCCCCGCATGATACTCCATCTACCCTCTTTGAGCTCAGCCTTGTGTAAACAGGGAAGTAGCAGAGCAGGATGCCAGCTTACCTGGATACATGCAGAGACATGCTGAATTCAGACCAGATGCCCCTAATTGATCTCAGTTTTATAGTGCATTATATATGTCTGAGAGAGGATAGCATATGTGTCCTTCAGAGGCATGAACAAATCTCTTGTTATTACAAACCTACTCAAGCTCACAGAGCTTTGGATTTCAGAAATGTCATGTGGAACTACAGTAACCATCTGGAAGGAATAGCTGAACATCATAGTAATTGGCACTTAAAGCAGTTATAGATGTTACCTAACCTACAAAATTCCTGTGATGGAAGTTTAGAGAATTTCTTTTAAATAATAGGTAAAGGACTTTAGACTGCCATCACTCATGGGGATGTAATACAGTACATTTTAGAGGTTTTTTTTTCAAAGATTTATTTTTAAATGCAGGTGCCTGTGGAAGCCATAAGTGTTACTCCCCGTGGAGATGGAATTACTGGTGATTATAAGCCATCTCACGTAGAGGCTGGGAATGGAACTTAGGTCTTCTGTAAAAGTAGCAGCCCCAGATTTTAAGTTTTTACAGCTAAATTTCTTATTTAAAATATTTTTATGTGGTATTTTGTAAAAAGTTGTTGATTTAAAAAAAAAGTTGAAGAAATGATTATTTGTAGAATGAAAATTAGACATTTTAAAATGTTACTGGGAACACTAGCAGACAGGACATTATTTCCGGACTTTATTTTTTCAGAGCATAACTTATTTTCCCTAACAAAAAAGCTACAGGAAGGTTTTTATGCCGTATTAGCCACAGTCTAAGTAGAACCTAGACAATAACTCGTTTGTCTTTCTAACTCTTCTCCACATTTAACCACCCTTGATGTTGCTATGAATTTCGCGGTTACTGGCACTGGATTGTGTGCTTGCGTGTTTGTTTCTACCTGCCATGTTTATCACGATAACTGAACAGCACATAGTAGGTATTCAGTAAATATTTATCACTTTTAAATTTGCAGTCTTTACACAATGTGTTTACATTTTTCTTAATTGTCAGCAAAAGATGCCAAATATTAAAATGTGAAAAAATTAAAGCCAGTAACTGCTGTTACTTTTTTTTTATTGAGAAAAGGAGAAAAAAAAAACAAGTTTCCACCTCTTCCCAGCCTCCCATTTCCCTCCCCCACCTCCCACCCTTCTCCCCCTCCCCCCACTCCTTTCCCCCTCCCTCTCCAGTCCAAAGAGCAGTCAGGGTTTTCTGCCCTGTGGTAAGTCCTAGGTCCTCCCCCCTCCGTCCATATCTAGGAAGGTGAACATTCAAACTGGCTAGGCTCCCACAAAGCCAGCACATTAAGCTGGATCAAAACCCCGTGCCATTGTCCTTGGCTTCTCATCAGCCCTCATTGTTCGCCATGTTCAGAGAGTCCAGTTTTATCCCATGCTTTTTCAGTCACAGTCCTGCTGGCCTTGGTGAGCTCCCAATAGATCCGCTCCACTGTCAGTGGGTGGGTGCACCCCTCGTGGTCCCGACTTCTTTGCTCATGTTCTCCCTTCTTTTGCTCCTCATTGGGACCTTGGGAGCTCAGTC